TGGGACATTTAGCACCAATCAGCTCATAGCTCACACCTGATTGGTCTGTTCCACTATCCAGGAAGCAAGCATAGAAGAGCCTTTGTATGAAAGGGTAGTTCCTGGGCTCTCAGGAGCAATGCCACAACTGACTGTGGTGAAGTAACAGGGTGAGAGCACATGCTGAGGTGGCTAGTTCCCGGAACAGCTTCTCATCCGCCTTTCTTATTGGCCATTTGACAACTGACCGTTAGACAAGCAAGATCTGGGAGGATCCTTCTATCCAAAAACAATTCAGTATTATTCCAAAGTTTGTGAGAGCTAAAAGACTGGTGATGGTGTTAAGTGGATTGATGTATTCATTCTTATATTGATCAAGAGGATTAGGGGAGGAACATTCATCTCTTTGTTCGCTCTGATGGGGGTGGAGGCTGCCTGGAAGAGAAAGAACCTGAGTCGTGCCCTAATGAGGTGAAGACGTGAGTCAGGTGAAGGCTTTCCAGGTGGAGTGGGCAGTATGGATAAAGACGTGCCAGAAACAGCTCAGGGAGTGCTGTGTGCTTGGACAGTGCTGGTAGATAGTTCACAACTGGCACTCGAACAACAAAACCTCACACCCACCTGATTCACAGCAATTCCCACCATCCCTGGTGTCAATATTCATCCCGCAGCCATTTTCAAGTTACCAGGGTGACGTCTCTGAAAATGATTTTGAGAAGAAATGTGCCCAGCTGCTTCATCTAGTGTGAGTGGCTACACTGCACCATTGATTTGGGGGTTCAAGTATGGGCCGTGGGTGGATTACAAAAAGCAGTTTCAGTGTTACTACAGATGCAATTCAGGATAGCTAAGGAAATAGGTGACTGATGACTTGTGGCTTTTCTCTAAATGTTGTTTCATATTCCTTGATTCGCGTATTCAGAAAGCCAGCAAATGCATTGGTGGTTCAGTGGTAGAATTCTCGCCTGCCAAAAAGCCAAGCATTTCCTTAGCTCCTAATACATGGCAGGCACTAGGCTGCCATGAACATCCAAGGACCAGCGCATACATGAAACAGACTCAGAGCTAGGAGTTACCAACTAGTTGGTAGTTAACACATCTTTGCCTTCTGGACTTCATCCTTTGAAAATTCTGATTCAGGAGCATGGGTGCCTAACTCAGTTCTTGGAAGAGAACTGTAGATCGATGGATTGCTCCAACCAAACTCTCTCCTGCTAGTCCCCTCGCTAGGGCACACACGACTCTCCCCTCCCCCTCTCCCCAAGATCAACCTTTACTCTCACTTCTGGCTGACTCTTCATTCCCCATAATTGTTTAGCAAATGACTCCAAATACACAAAAATCATTTTGCTGCAAGACATTCACTTCCATGATGACTGCTCATTTCAATTAGCGGTCATCACTGAAATAGACACAGGGAAGGCTTGCAGGCATCACAGCCTTTGTTTGCAGTTGGGTTTAAGGTGGTCGGGCTGCGGGGTGGGGTGGGGGGTGGACGAAGGGAATAAATATTTTATCATTTCTTTCCTTTTCCGTGTTCTGCCACTTTGCTCCCATTTCCATGTCTCCCCTGCATGCTGGCAGATTGCGGACGGTAAATTTGAGGGGAAATAGTAAACGTGCAAACATGATAAATAAACATGTTGCCTTTGTGAGGATGGCTGTTATTACATCCTGATTTACTGCTCTCCGCTTCTGTACTTATTGCATTTAGGGAAAAGCCGTACGAACAAGGTTCCTGTGTTACATGGATCAACTTTCTGCCCTCCACCCTTGCAACCCCTCTGAGTCCCTTAAATATCAACCTGGACGGGGGACACACTGTCTCTCTGGGAATGAATGTGTCTTGACTGGTGCTTTCTTTGGGGACGGTTATTTATAACTGCAAAATCTCTGGTACTACACGGCATTTTTGCTTCCTCCCTTTTCTCATTTCTCTAAAATTGAACATATATTTGTTTTCCCAGTGGGAAAAAGTGCCAAAGCAATGACTTAAATCTCTATTTCTGTCTCTGTTTCTTTCCCTGCTTCTCTTTGTCTCTCCCTATTCTGACTCTCTTCTATCTCCCACCTTCTTGGACATTTCTGGATCTTTCCAGGTTCAAATCCAGGGATTGTCACCAGCTTTTGGTCACCGAGGAAATATCTCCCTGAGCCTCACAGGGCCCTTGGGCTGTGCTGCTTCTCCTGTGCTCAAACACCCATTCACAGAATGCAATGAGACATTCCTGTGTGTGTCTCCTCCGCCCCTCCCTGTCTCCCCAGCTGGACGGTGAATGCTTGAGGACAGGGAGCTGGCGCAGCTTACCACTTGGTCCGACCATTCCCTGCCCGGCGCGCGACGTCATCACCTTGGGCTGCACAGCCTCAAACTTGGTGCCCTTTGCCTTCTTCACCTCCTTGCCCTCCCCACTTCCAGTCTGTCACCAAGTCCCATAGATTCTTCCACCAGCAGTCTCCATTCTGACTCCACAGCCCCCAGCTGCTCCTAACTTTGAGCCTCCCCCCATTGCCAGGCACTGAGCTGCTCTCTGACCACTGTCTCCAGAGGATCTCCATGGTGATGGCAGTGTCTTTGTTGATTTCCTCGCCCCCTCCCAGGCTCGCTGCCCACCCCCCTCGGTGCTTACTGGAATAGCTAAAGGATGGGGCAGTGGAGCGCGTGCCTGCAGATTCTGTTGCTAAGGAAACCACTTCCTTGGTTACGGGCCTGGGGAGCATTCTCTCCCTGTGTCTGGATCCTGCTGAGTCGCCCCCACTCTCCAGGAAGATGATGGTGAGGAGGAGGCTAGTAAAGACAACAGGGGTGGGGAGGGTTGGAGGGAGCAAGCCAGAGATAAGCAGGCGAGGAGACAGAGCTCAGAGACGAGACAGGTGGGGAGATGCAGGCCCAGCAGCCGCAGAATCATGATAAAATGGGAGAAAGTGGAGGAGAGGAGGAGGAAGGGCAGGAAGGGGAGACAGAAGGGGCAGAGGAGGAAGGTGGAGGAAGAGGAAAAGGAAGGGAAGGGGGGGTGGGAGGAGGGAGAGGACGACTAGAAAGGAAAAGGGTTTAATGAGCAGCTGGGGGAAATAAAGCAGCCACAAAGAGGGAAAATCTGAGCAGGAGGCAGTGTGAAGAAAAACAGCAAGGGGGGAAGTGGGGAGAAAGGAAACGGCAAAGGGGAGGCTCCGTCTGTGGAGGTGGCTTCTGGTAGATGCGGCCCCTGCATGCCCTCTGCCTCCGCTGGCATCCTCTGCAGCAGCCGCTGGGGGGCAGGGGGAGTCAGGAGACGTGTGCTGAGGCCTGAGAGGGTGAGGACACAGTGCCCCTGCTCTCCTGCCTCCTCGGGTGCCGTCACCCTCTGCGGCTGGCGCTTTTTGGAGAGGGCACCAGCTGGCCCGGCTCTGGTATTAACTTCTGGGAGACTCGGGCCAGTCACTGTTGATCTGTGTGTCAGTGCCCCCCTCCATAAAGTGGGGTGGTTAATAACCTTCTGGGTTGGTCAGGAGCCCCCCCAAGTCTTTTCCCTTCCTTACCCCGCCAGCATCTCCCAGCGCTTTCATTACCAGCGCTGCTGGGTGCTCAGGGAAATGCGAACTCTTTAGGGCTGGGGATTTTAGTCGGTTTAATTAATTAATTTTCTTAATCTCTAGGCGTTAGAGCAGTCCTGTCCCCCACCCCTGCTCCAGGTGTTCTATGAACGCTTGCTGAAGAGAGGAGTTAGCGAATGCTGCCTTGCTTCCTACAGGTCTGTAACAGAAAGACTTGAATCAAGACAGTCACTGAGGTATGATGAAAGGGCAGAGAAGAGGTGCTGGCTGTGGAGGGGGGGTGTCAGCCCCCCACCCACAGGCCCTGGGGTGGGAGAAGGAGACGCCACCGAGGAGGCGAGTCCAGGAGAGTCTGGCGCTAGGTGCCCCGGGCTCCTCTTGCTTGTGGTCAGGAGGATTTGGTTGACCAGGCACTATTCAGAGACATGGAAGGAAATACCGCACTCAGCCTGGGATCAGAGTCAAGGCCTGTCTGAGGTCAAACGAGGCTCAGACTGCGGCCAAGTCAGGGCTCAAATTAACCAAGCTCAGGCCCAGGGCTCCATCTGAGGCAGAGACTCAGGCTCGGCCTGCAGCCTGTCAGCACTTGCTTGGGGCTGGTCAGGGTGCAGCCTGTGCCCCAGGCTGGGGTCATCGACGAGGTGAGACCGAGTCCACTGAGTCGGGCTGGATCTGGGGCTCTGGGTTTACCTTCCTGGCGAACCGAAATCAGGGATCAGAGTGAGACCAGGTTGGTGGGTCAGTGTGTGCCCAGGATCAGGGCTCAGTATATGACCAAGATTAGAGACTCCACGTGGCCCTGGATCAAGACCCTACAAGGGTTGGGGCCGTCTGACAAGGTCACACTTGGTTGGAGACTGGAGTCAGAGCTCAGCTCGGGGCCCTGACAGTTACCCCAGAAGAATTTTCAGAGTCAACACCCATCACCAGGCAGGGAAGATCCTGGAACAACCCTTTGTTCCCTGTTTCAGAGGATCCCAGGCTGGGAGGGGCCTCCGGCTTCTCAGTCCTCCTGAATACAGCCCAGGTGCCTGCTGCCTCCCTCCCTTCCTCTGCCTGCCCGGCCTGTTTCCCACACCTGGGGTCCTTATTGTCCACAGGGCAGAATCTGTCCCTGCCTCTGGCTGGGCCCCAGCGCCGCTCCACAGGGGCCACTCTGTTGTGTGAGGACACAGGACACAGGCCGCCTTCAGGGGTGTCTGCTGGTTTGGGAACTGAGGCTCACTCCACCTACTGGGGAACAAAGCAGCCAGCTCCTCTGCCTCCTGGGCTCTCACCAGCGTCCCATCTGCCCTTGCGAGTGCACGGCACACTTGGGGAGTCTCACACACACTCACACACATGCACACACATTCACGCTGCATACGCACATACCCATGTGCACTGACACACACTCAGGCACACACGCTCACTCTCACACACGAACCCCCCCGCCCCCCGCTTGTGAGCCGGCCTCATACAACGCTGTACCACAGGGTAGAATTTTCAATAAAACTTGCTTTTAATGATGGTGTTGACCTGAGGAATCTTCAGACAGGCGTGTGGCCGGAAGTGGCCACTTGCAAAGCACTGGCCCCGCTCTGGGGCCAAGAGTCCCCCAGAGAAAGCTGACCTTGAAGGCGGGAAGGCCAAGCCCTCCTCGGCCTCCTGAAGAAGACTAGAAATTTGCCCAGGGGAAGAAACACGGTACAAAATACATTCAGAGCCCCCTGGCTGGCCCGGGTGGCCCAGACCCTGCAGGTGAGAGGGTCCGGGAAGAGAGCCAAGGTCCCGTCCCTCGGCCTTCTCTTCCCACGCCAGGCCCCAAGGGGGGAATGCACTAGTCATATTCCTCTTAAAAAAATATATCTCTTTACACTCGCCTTCTCCATCGTCTCTTGGCTATTTGGGAACGAGCACTGACCTGCACCCCAAGGCTTCAGAGGGACTGTTGGGGTGGGCTGCTCTAGACAGAGAGCAAGAGCTATGACTTATGGCTTTTGCCTCTACACGGTGGGGCCGGTGCAGGCGCCGTGGGGCCGATGAGCGGCCCCTGGCGGCCAAGGCGGAGGCAGAGATGGGAGAGAGGCTCCGAGCTTTCCAGGGCATCAGTGACGCGGGTCCTTGGAAATCCTTTGGTTTGAGGTCTCGGCATCAAGAAAGCAGCATTTGCATGAAAAGGAAAAGCCATCCCATTCATCCGGCTCCTTCAAGGGCCCCCAAAGCAGCCCTGGGGGGTTATGATGAAGGGGTCTCTTTCCGGCTGTGGCCCGCCTGACTTGGTGCCCTGTCCCACCAGGAGGCACAGGAACCCATGGAAGTCAGCAGGGTGCTCAAGGCCGCTGTTGGGCGCCGTGGAGAGGTGCGTCACTGGGGCTCTCGGTCTGACTGAGGCTCTGTGCTCTCTGCAGGGCCACCTTGCTGGGATAACTGTTGGTGCCTAAGGAACCCCTGGAAGTGGGTTCTGGAACCCCAAGATGACCTGGGACAATGTGGGAGGAAAAGGAGAGTGACCTGGGGTGGGCTGCTGATGCCGGTGGCCCCCACACGTGGTGCCAATTAGCCATGAGCACTGTTTCCTTCCGCCCCCACCCAGAATGTCAGATACCTAAGGAGAAACTTCCCAGCAACCTTCAGAGGGAGGCGACCTGGATAAGCTTAGTGCATGGCTTCCTGGGCGGAGAAGGGACGGGAAGGCGCTCCAGGTCAGCCCAGAAGGGAAGAGCCACCCTGGCCCCTTTTCTTACAAGTCCCTTTAGCTCCTGCATCAAGGTCCTCCACACCTGCAGGGGGCACCCACGGGGCTGCAGCACTTCCTCTCTCCAGGGGAACCCAAAGTGGTGGGGGCAGACAGGAGGGAGACAGAAGGGGGTTCATGTGGCTGGAACTCCGCAAACCAGTGGCCCTCTGCATTTCCAAGGGTGAGGTTAGGGTGGGGAGTACCTGGACAATCTCTTCTCTTGAGCTCCCTCTGTCATGCAGGAAACTTACGGAAGGCAAAAGCAGCCAAGGGGGTTGTCCCCAAACCAAAGGGATGACAGATGGGTGAGGGTCCCCCCGGGCCTCTTGAGTCTCAGGCCCTGTTTGGTCAGGACACCCAGCCTTCCCCCGCCTTCTGCCGCATCATCTGGGGTAGTAGTCGTCGGGAACCCCCGTGAGGTTCCTCCCTTTGAGGGCCGCGTCTACCATCTTGATGTAGGCGGAGATGGTCTTCTTCATGTCCACCGTGTAGGGGTCGTACTCCAGCTTCCGGAGCCCCGAGCGCTTGAAGTTGCCGTCCTTCTGGCTCTCCACGCAAAGTAGCCGGTCCTCCCTGACAGCCACTCCCAGCAGGCTGACCATCCGGCCCAGCTGGACGAAGAGGTCCTGCTTCAGGTCCTCAAAGTGCACCACCAGCACCTTCTTGCCGAACTTGAGCCAGTCCAGCGTGTGGGTGGCCCACCAGGGGGCGTAGTTCCTCACAAACTCGGGCCACTCTGTGGAGAGAGGAGGGGACCCAGTCAGAGGAGGAGGCAGGTCAGGTGGCGCGGCAGAGGGCGCCACTAGCTTCTGGTAGACGGCCAGGTTCTGGGGTGCCCGCACCCCAGCGCGGCTGCCTCGCCTGCAGTATGCACAGCCCTTCCTTCTCGCTGGGCAAGACTAACACCCTGTTGCCACAAGACCTACACAGCCCTACACCCACAGGGGTTACTGTATTCCTGTATTTTATTGCATGTATAGTAATATACAGCATGTAGAATGATGCTCTGATAGCTATTCATTTCACTATTCCTTACAGCTTTCTGAAGTAGGTATCATTGTTATCTTCATTCCATAGATGAAGAAACTGAGGTGTAGAGACCCCCCCCCACACACACACACCCCCCTCAACCCCACTCTGCTCCATCTGGAACAAAAGTCAGTGGGTCTCCCAAGGTTGTAGGAAAGTCAGGACGGGTTCTTAACCGCATCCTTGTCCCCAGCTGGGGGGATGGACACCCATTATCTCACTTAATCCTAGTGATTACCCACAAGGGAAAGGACCAGGGAGGAAACTGAGGCTCAGAGGTGAAGTGACTTGCCCAAGGTCACACAGCAGGGAAGCACTCCCCAGACCAAGCCTGTCTGATTCTGGGCCCCATCCCAATCACCAGCAGCATCACCCCACTCTCTGCTGCTGCCTTGCACCCAGTGGGGGCTCAGTAAATGGTTGCTGAATTAAATTGAAATCCCCAAGTCCATAGAGCAATGTGATAAAGGGCTCCCGTTTCTGTGCAGAACACAAAAGAATCTGCGGTGAAGCTCCCGCCCCCCACTGCCCGGCTGGAGCGCCAGGGCTGTTTGGGTTATATTTATGTGGGTGACAAGGATAGTTTTTATCCTTAAAATAGATTATTTACAATGTATCTGGTTAATTGGGCCCGTACTGTTATAATGGGTTAAGACCAGATGCGTCTAAGTGATTAGAAAAAAATCCAGGGCATCTAGTCTGCTTTGCTCTGTTTTAGAATTTTTCCACTCCTGAGTCACTTCACAGCATCCCCAACAGTCCACGACCCCACTGCTGTTCCAGGGCAAAAGCCAGGTGGATGGAGCCCCAGATCCCGGCTGCCAGGCTTGGCCTCTTCTCACCTTTGTGGCTGCTGGAGAAGGCTTCGGGCTGGGCCTGCAGGACAAGGCAGGACCTGCGGGCCTGGTGGTGGGAGCCCCCCCCCCTTTTCTTTTAAAATTTATTTTATTTATGCATATAGGCCAGAGGCATAGGGGTGAGAGGACTCACCAGAGACAGAGTGGGGAGCAGAACAAGCAGACTGACTGAAATCCACTACTGAGGGGAGCAGCGGGTGAGACAGAGAGGTCACCTCCCTGGCCGGGATCAAACTCGTGCTGCAGTGGCTGCCCATAGCTTCATAGTGCTGAGACTTAACCCCTTGCACTACCAGGAAGCCCCCCACCCCCATCTTTGAATGCAGGTAGGATGGTGTGAACTCGCACCCTGTTGACTACAAACCTCCCTGGGACACCAGCTCCCAAGTCTGAGGAGCTGGCTGGAGGATAGAATGGGGATGTCTGTTTCTCATGCAGTGCTCAGAAGTAGCCAGGGAAGTGGGATTACTAGCTGCACCTGGAAAAGGGAGGGTCAGAGCATGAAGCCAAAACCACACCTTGGGCATCCAAGGCTGGATTCGAACCCACGGCTACCCCAGCCTGAGCTCCTGCCCTCCTAGCAAACCCTTGTAGCAAACCCTAGCAGCTCCTGAGCTGACCATCAGCCCCACTGTCCTCGCCCTAGATTCTAGTCTCCCTCTGGGTGCTGTGTAAGACGTGGGACTCGAGACAGCCCGCCAGGGCTCAACCCCCAGCTCCTCTCCAGACTCGCTGCATGCTGGGAGATGCTCCTCCGTCTCCTCGAGCCTCAGTTTACCCACCTGCAAAATGATGGCGCGCCAAGACCGATAGCCTGGACGTGCTGTGCGGAGGGAGTGGAGTGGCTTGCCTGCGTGGGCCCAGCGGCTGGGTAAGTGCCAGACCCTGACAGCGATCCTGTGTTGGTGCCAGCATGGCGCAGGCACGCACCTACCCTCCCTGTGGGTGAGAGCTTCCCAGGAGTCCCCGAGTTCGGAGGTGTCTGGCGTCGGGAGTTGCCCGCCCCTCTCGTCCCCGCTCCACGCCCACTCTCATGGCACAGCCTCTTCACTTGAAACTCCTAAATTACTTCATTGTAAGAAGAACAAAAATTAAAAACAAAAGCCCTCAATTAGCCCAGGATTTCCAGTAATTGATGTCTGCCTTCAACTCGGGTAATAAAGACCCGCTGAGCCGTGGACCATTGGTAATGAGTGCTGGTTCCGGCCGGAACTGTCGCCACGGCCCAGGGGGCCACCGGCTGGCCACCCTCCGCTCCGTCTTGTCGTGGCGGGGAACCGGGGCTGATTAATAGCTTAACTGTACTTAATTCCCCAGAGAATCATTAAACACAGTCTCTGTTTCATTAAACAGATCCAGGACAATTCACCTTGTGTAATCATATCACATAAAACTTTGCTTTGGACCCACTCCAGGGAGATTGTAAAATTAACGTTCTGGAACCACCAGAGTGGGGGTTTGCGGGCGCCTCTACCGTGCATGCTGGGGTGTCCTGAGGCGGCGGCTCTCAAACTTTAAAGTGTGCAGGAAGCTTCTGGGAGCATCTTGTTCAAATGCAGATTCTCATCCAGCCTAGGGTAGAGCCTCAGATTTGCTA